TTGATAACTAGTAGACAAGCGTATAATTACTTTTGTTTATCATCGCAAAGGACGGACAATATACAATCTCATGTCTATGTTTCGTCTAATGTGTCTCGTCTATATACAAATATACAATGCAAGATTAAACACGGAGAGGATTTGATAAAGAGTAGAGAAAAACTGAAGATGGAAAGAGAGAGAGAAAAAGAGAGAGAGAGCCAGAAAAAAGTTGAACCAGAGAAAGAGAAAGGCAAAAAATTGGAAAAAACTTAACTGTGGAACGAGAGAGAAAAACAGAAAAAGAATTACCGACAGAATAAACAGAGAGATAGTAAGAAAGAGAGAAAAAGAGAGAGAGAGAAGAGAGAGAGAGAGAAAGGGGAAAAAATAACAAATATCAGAAACAAAATTAATAAAAAATTAAATCAAAATTGATTAAACTAAACCTAAAAATTGAGTCTAAAATCTTGCTGCCGAAAATGCATCACGGGATACTTACTCTGCTTGAGTCATGTGGACACCAAAACATTCATTAAGTTTTCAAGCCGGATAATAATAATTACTATCATAATTATATAATAATATATTAATAATAATAATAATAATAATAATGATAGACATGATAATTACTGTTGTTAGTTTAATTATTTGAAAAAAAAAATTTCTGAAAGCTTCGATAAGGAAGTGTTTAGAAGTTTAAATATTCTACTACTACTACTACTACTACTACTACTACTACTACTACTACTACTACTACTACTACTACTACTACTAATACTACTACTACTACTACTACTACTACTACTACTATTACTACTACTACTACAGCCACTACTACCTTTTTAACTACAACTACAGCTTTTACTGAGAAGAATAAAATAAGGATCATAGTAGTACAATGTGAGATTATCACAATCTGCCGGCTCTCTTCTAGGAGACATAATATTGTCATAATTAACATCAGTGAGAATGATGATGACGATGATGATGACGCCGTTGATGATGATTGTGATGGTGGCGATGATGGTGATTGTGATGGTGGTGAGGATGATGATTGTGATGGTGGTGATGATGATGATTGTGATGGTGGTGATGATGATGATGATTGTGATGGTGATTGTGATGGTGGTGATGATGATGATGATTGTGATGATGACGATTATGATTGTGATGGTTTGTAAGTGAGATTATGATAATGAATTTGTTAATGAAATAATAATAATAATGATGATGATAATAATTTAAAATTATGATGATAATGATGATGATAACGATGATGATAATGATTTAAAATGATGATGATGATGATGATGATCTAAATTGATGATGATGGTTTGGATAGATGATGATAATAAATTATCTAGAATGAAGACATTGATAATTTAAAAGTGATGATGGTGAACGTAAATAATGATGATTGATGATTGCAAATAACGACTGATGAGGCAAAATAATGATAACTTCATCAACAATCACCAAACCAATCAAAGCATCACCTGACCAACGGAAAACAAAGTTTATTTCTAAAATTTTCAAATGACAAATAAGTTTTGTTTTTAAAATGACTTTTCGAAGTTTTGACAAACTACATCCATTCATTTTTAATGCAATGCTTATTCAAATTAACAACCTCACACAACAAAGAGGATGAATGCATGTTAATAACAACAATAATAAAATTATTATTATTTTATTGTTATTATTATTATTTGTAATGTTGTAAATACAACATTCTGATACGGGCCCGTCAAAGCGTAACGAACTAAGCCAGTAGACACACACACACACAAACACACACACACACACACACACACACACCACACACACACACACATTCATACATACTAATGTAATTGTATACTTGGTGTTTATTCAATAAACAATACTATATAATGAATTGGTTTTTTATTTTTTTTTTTTATTTTTAAAAGAATGAAAATATTTTCAAATATTTTTTTTATTAATATGTTTTTAAATGCAATTTAGATAAAATGGCAGCCTTTTTTCAAGTTTTAAAAATTCTCAAAAAATTTAGACAAAAATTCACTTGAAATAAACATCTATAAGAAGTTTTTGTTCAAATGAAATACATTTTCACTAATTATTGTTAATATTATGTAATTTATTTAATAAATATTAATTATCAGTTTTATATCATAATTATCTAGAAATTATTTCTTAGCCGCCTTTTGAGCTTCCTTCTTCTCCTCCTGTAAATCTTGTAAATAGTTTTAAACCCATAATTTTATTATTATTATAATAATAAATATTATAAAAATTATTATTTTATTAAAATTATAATAATAATTACTATGGCCATGTGTATATTAGCAGTGTATTCGAAAGAATACGAATTAAGGGTATTTTACGGAAAAAAGTTGGAGTACTGTGTTCAGCTTTGGAATCCAGATTTACAAAAGAACAAACGTATGCTCGAGAACATTCAAAAGTTGACAACGAGAATGATAAAGGAGTGTCGCGGTATGCCATACGAAGACAGCTTAAAAGTTTGTGGATTGACAACATTGGAAAAGAGAAGAACAAGAGGAGATTTGATTCAGACATACAAAATCATCACTATGAAGGAGAATTTGGAATCAGCAAAATTTTTTGAGCTTAAGATGAATAGTAAAACAAGGGAGCATTAATATAATATCAGCTGCAGAGTTGTCAACGAGTGGAACAAACTGGGAGATGAAATAATATGCGCAGACAACTAATTAATTTTAAAGCTAACTTGGCAAAAGAATATATTAGACGCTCTAATCAGGTTATAAACTCCCCACCGTGATAGAAGCACACTGATTATTTTAAATTTCCCATGAGACGATAATGTAAACATCATAAAAATATATCCAAAACAAATCATTCATCATCAAGCTATACGATATTAACATTATAATATTGTATTATTATTAATATTTATTATTTTAATTATTATTCAATTATTTTATTTTGTATTCACCTTTTTTCGTCGGCAGGACATTTTTTTCAGTCGTCTTGACCTTCTTTAACTTCGATTTGTCGAATTGTTCAACTTCCGTGACATCTGGTATATTGAGAAAATTAAAAAAAATTCATTCATTCATCCATCCATTCATTCATTTATTCATTCATTCATCCATAAATTCATTTGTCTTTTAACTCATTCTTCCATCATTTCCATTCATTAATTGGTCATTAATTCATTTAAAAACTTAAAAGACGCACACTGCCAGACACACAGACAGGCACGGACACAGACAGACAGACAGACAGTCGGACGGACAGACAGACAGACATGCAAACACGCACACCCACAAGCATAATATATAACTAATCAAACTTAATTACAATAAATTTTCAACTTAAAAAAATTAATTTAAACTTGAATAAGACAAAATCCAAATCATTAACCAGGCTTGTCCGCCATTTTTTGAAGATTTATTTTAAAAATCCACGAAATTAAAATTAATTAATTGAATTAATAAATAGGTAATTTAATTAAATAAAAAAAATTAATTCGGAAAATAAGACACAGAATTACGGTGCTATCATCACTGCTATAAGCTTATATAAAGAAAGGAAAAATATAATTTAGTGATTGAATATTACTAATAGTAACAATAATGAACCACCAAATCAAAGACAACAATCACAGCTTCACAATGAAATAATAACAATAACAAAAAATAATAAGAATAATAATAACAACCTTATGATGTCATATTAAACTTTGATGTGTTCATAGAGGCACGACATTTAAAATATGCGTAGGACAAAAATAGGAGCGCACATTCATCCATACATGTCTATAATGTAATGACTGAATGAGTAAGTGAGTGAATCAATATTGAATGAATGAATGATTGATAATCAACCATTTAGATGAGTGACAATAAAATTCAGTTATCATTCTGGAATTCTTAAAAAATTGATAGCATTAACGAAAATTGCAACATTCGACTACTCAGTCTTTCAAAATGTCCTCCGAAGCCCAAGCCGAAGTCGAATTTCTAAAGGGTAGATGGATAAAGGACTAGGTGAATGGATAGATGTATGAGGAAATATGAAGAAGGATGGAAAGTTCGAATGAATGAATGGTTGAATGAATCATTGAATAAATAAATGAGCGAACGAACGAAAGAAATGAAGAGTGAATGAATGAACGATGACAAACGAGTGAACAAACGACGAACACACAAATAGAATTAAAAATTTTCGAAGCGTCGTCACATTGAATAACAACATTCCATCCAATACTTACTCGTCTGGGAGCATTTCAATATATATAACAATGCAAACAATCACTCATTGCATATGTTTTGCTTGTGTTTATTACTTGTATGCACATACACACATACATGCATTGTATTTTTGTACGTACACGTACACACATAATCTTACTACAGTTATTTAGCATTGAACATTAGTACATACTTTGCATGCAGAAGCAAAAAATAAAAACCTACACCAACAGCCACTCATCAATATATTATGAACCCCGTTTCTGATTTTTCAAAAAATGTATACAATATATAGTACAGTATATAGTATTCACGGATATATATCCAAGGTGTAGTATCATGATATGAATATTGACTATGAAGCAAAGCTTTCTTCCTGGTCAGCGTAAAATTTCAACTGCTCTATAGTTCAATTCTTACGATATAATCTCGCAATATTTGTATCAGTCAATTGATGAGTCATAAATGATATTTCGCTGATATTAAAATAATTATTTTAAGCGTTATTGTTATTAAATGTTTAATATTATTTATTGCCATATATAGGTATCATTATTATAATATATATTCCCAAACAATTATACGTTTTAAAATAAAATTTATTTTAACTTTATTGATTTCTTTTTTCAATAAGTTATACAACAACAATGAGTTTAATAATAATAATGATGATGATGATAATAATTACTATACAACATTAATATTCATTGGGGAAACAGATTTTCGACTAAATAAAAAAGACAAAAGTGATAAAAAAAATGAAATAATTTGGAATAAACTTCCACTAAAACATCATTGCACGTAATAAATGGATGGATTGACGTCTGGCTTGTTGGGATTGTGCTCCAGTAACCAATCTGCCAGCCATGTCTGATTTCAAGATAAAAATCGATTGGAATAAAAAAAAAAGGATTTTTATTTATATATAAATTCTCATTTCAGTGTTTTCCAGAGGTATATCAACCACATTGCATTTTATTGATAAATATACAATAAACCTGAAGAAATAAATTCTTAGTATTATACCATGGGATTTGACGGTTTAACGTAGCACAGTTCTTTCAAGCCCTGTATTAATGTGAAGTTAACCAAACGAGCTAAGTAATTCTTCATACCCTTTTCTGTTACAAGTGGCTCTAAAATCCCTTTTTATTGAAATATTTGATGTGAAGTTAGATGAACACGTGAAAAATTGTTAACGGTAGTTTTGAAATGAGTTTCATCTCGGTGAATATTGTTTTAAAATGAAGAAAATGACAAAATCATACGATTGGAGAAGAAATAAGCTATCTCTCTTTTTGCAACTTCGAGATTTTCACTGCCGTGCACAGCATTTCTCAGGTCATCCGTGCCGAAACGTGCCCTCAAACTAACAAAATTAAGTTACTTTTATTTGCGAAAACGAATTGAGTAGAAGCTAGGTAGCTATATAAACTTTATAAAAAATAGTTTTGTATATTTATTTATATATTGGAAAAATCACATGTACCTTTTTGGATGTGTTTCTTTAGCGATGTAAGTATTCTTGGGTCCGATGATGGTCAGCCACCTTTGAACGGCGTTCTTCCTGGCTAGTAACAACACCCGACTGATTCCAGAGGAATAAAATTTCACCATGTCCGATGTGTAAGTGGGATCAGAATTCTTTACGTAAAATTCTGTCACCTGCTCTGGACTCATCTGGATGCTCTTTTCCTGGAGTTTCGTTCAGTTGGGGAAATGTGTCTTTAATTTAAAGTTGGATAAATAACTGTTGTTATTGAATTTATTGAATAATTATTATCAAAAATAATTTAAAATTTTATGATGTTATAGTAACCACACTTGTATGAATGCTTATGAAGCGTTTTCAAATTTGAAAAAACCTGACATTTTCAAAAAACCAAAAAATAAAATGAAAACATTAAGGCAACGTGTATAATTGTGAATCCATTAGTAAGTATGACATCCTCAATAGTATCATGATGTTCAAAGGCGTCAGGTTTCAATATGGCCAGGGTGGTTTCGACCCTGATGTGGGGTTCGTTCCAGAGGTGCACATCGTCCCGACATTCATCATCCACCTCTGACATCTCTTCATAATCGTCCATTATAAATAAATTTGTTAGTCTCTTGTTTTCCCTGTCGGCTTCTTTATTCGTATTTCAAGTCTATATTTAGAGTTTGAAATTGAATTTTTATATCTTTGCAATTATTTGGTGGTGACAAATTAGTTTATTTATTTCTATCTGAAACAGTTTTATTTTAATAGCTGTGTTAGAGTTCTAAATTGAATTAATATTAATCTGGAATATTAAAGACGATTTTAATTTTATGTCTATGGCCGAATCTAATTTTAAAATTAAAATAAATAACATTAATAAAAAAATTTTAACTAAAAACCATCATAAAAGTAATTCTAAAATCTAAAATGATAAAAAATTAATTATTTTGTTTGCAGTAAAAGCAAATATAAATTTTAAGACCAAATTTTTAATCATTTTAAAAATTTAAACCATTTATAACAATGTTGTAACGAGATTTTTTCGCAGTCGTAAATTAATCATAAGAAAATAACCAGGGATTTGAAATTTGTACACAGATAAACGTTAACTGCTGTGCTAATACCAAAAACACTAAAGCAGGGAGATGCATTTTTTAAAAATTCGTATTACATTGTAACAAAACAAATATGAAATGTTAAAACAACTCAATAAAGTCTGATAATTTTTTAATTTATTCTGGATAATTTTGACCATGGTTATATATATGTATATATATATCTATGATGTCGACAGTTTGGGTGTTTGAGTAATTTGCGAGAGCTTATACATAGAATATGACAAACGATTTCATGTTAAACGTTCGAGTCGAGTTCTTTATTTCAATTCCTACTCCGCTTTTCATTGAAACTACTTACTAACTAAAGAATTAAAAAAAACTCTAGAGAATAATTGAATTAAGTTATTACGTGTTCAAATTTTTTAAATTAATTATTAAAAGTTTAATTATTTTTTTAAATAATCGAAATTTTGTAAGACAAATGTTCAACATCTATTTGGCTCATGTTATCATTGTTATATATATATATATATATATATATATAACAATGATATATACAATATACATATATATATATATATATATTTATTTATAATTTGTACTAAAAATAGACTCTTAATGTGACTCATTACTATTTTTGTCTGCCGAATTATATATTATAACATACCATAAAATATACACAAATTAATACAACACAGTGCAATACCATCATTTTTACTGTACCCAATTTGATACAAACGCGACAACACATATACCAAAATTATGTAGTATTCTGTGTGCGTGTGTGCACGCGAGTTTCCATAATGTGACGTATATTATTTATATTATATAATAATTATCAATATTTAATAATAATAATAGCAACATTAATAATTTTCTGTTTTGTTATTTTGTTTTGTGGGGAAAACATTTATGCCTATTCATCGAGGAAGTCATGTGATATTGTTTTTAGTGTTGTGTGCCATACATGTACGTCTGTCTATGTATGTATGTGTGTGTGAGTATGTGTGCGTGATGTATTTATATGTGTTTGTACATTCTGTTGAGTGTACACATGTGCGTACACATGAAAGCGTATACGCATACGCACGGCCAAGCAGCAAGCAGTAGAAAGAAATGATGATATGAAACCAGATTGGATTGGATGGGTGGATGGAGAGGTGGATGTGTGTACAATAACAACTGAAGCTTCATCGACGTTGTCATCGTCATCATCTTTCTTTTCCTCATCATCATCGTCGTCGTCATCGTCATCAGCGTTTTCTATTCCTGTTAAGCTGTGAATGCAAAAGTGACAGTACCTTATTTCATTTTTACGTTTTTCTGGGTAAATAATAATAATATGTTTATAGTGATATAATTATGTTTATTTAAGCAATTAAATTAAGTAAATAGTTTTTTATTTGTTTTTTTTTTGGTTGTTTATATGGTGGATAACGATTTTCTAATGTTATAGCTACTGATGTCTGCACATTAACGGGTAGGTTTTTCTGCGCCATATTGCTTTCATTTATCTGTTCAAACATTCATTCATTCATTCATTCATATATTTTTTTACTTATTCATTCATTTATTTATCGCGTCCTTCATTCAATTTTATTTCATTCCTTCATTCAATTCACTTTTTTTTATTAGTAAGTTGTTTCATTCATTCAACCATTTGTATGTAAATTCATTTATTTTCTTCATTCATTCACTCCTCTCTTCATTCTTTCATTCATTCATTCATCCATTGCATTCATTCATTTTTCGTTAAATGGTTCAATCTAGGTTCAGTGCGTATCAAAAAAGATTCTCGTTACTTTATAATATATCTTAAAATAAACTCATTCGTACGAAACGAATTACAAATTAATTCAATTGTTATTTGATTATTTAAGGATGGTGGATTCATAAATTAGAAACAACAAGAGAACTAACTAACTAATAAACTGATAAATGTTTTAGGATTAGAATGGTTACGATTAGATTGAAATATTTAAATACTTAGCAGGAAAACCTCAACTATTGAAATACTGAGATTTTCTCAGCCATTCTTTTAAGGATCAAAGTTTCAGAGATGAAATTTATTCATCTGTCTGCGTTATCTCAAATGAAAATTTTTTTTCAGAAATAATTATTGAAAGTTTAATTACGTAAATACATGAATGAAAATGTACTGAAAATAATATTATAATACTACAACAACAACTACTACTACTGCAGCTTCTACTACTACTTCTACTACTACCGCGATTACTGCTGCTACTACTACAATACTACTACTACTACTACAACAACAACTACTACTACTGCTATTACTACAAATGATATTAATTATGTAATAAAAGACGATAACATAAAATAATGAACACAACATACGGTAGCACTATGTGTAACATTTTTTGGTAATCTCTCAACTACTTTAAAAGCCTTTAAAGTGAAAGGATATATGTGTGTGTAATGTAGAGTTGTACATGTTTAACTTGAAATCATGATTTGGTCTAAAATATTCATTCTCTAGAAAAATATTCTTTAGAAATAGCATTAATTTATTTTAATTTTCAATTTTTATAATATTTAAACTTATTTAATATTACTATTAAACGTTATATCATATTTACATAACAAATGCTTCCAAACCACCAGCCAAATACATAGTAGTAGCAGTAGAAGCCACTACAGTAGCCACTAGAACATTATCAGCTAGAATATATTAGCTGTAATATTAGAAGTAGTGGCTATCATCGCCGCTAAAACAGCCTCACCGTCTTCATGAACGTTCAACAGAAAATGTTGTTTGAGGAAAGAAATGGTAGTGCTTATAGTGAAAGACTTGCTAATCAGATTCAGATTAAGCTGGACAATGCTCCATTCAAACCTCATAACTTCAAGTAAATTTGTTAACGATTCTTTCGATAATTATTTTTCAAGTTTAAAATTTTAAACTTTTTTTTTAATAAATTCTCGTTTGAAAACTCAAGTTTCACACAGAAATTTCCATTGTGATCAATATTAAATAACGTATCAGCGCGATATAGACCGTTCACGTGTTATTTTAAGGGTCTGACTGCATAAAAATGGCTCTCGATCTATTGCAAAATTAAGAGTGGCCATCATCGCGAGCGCCATCATCGCCTTTGCAAAACAATTCCATCTCATCAATCATCGATCCAGGCGCAATTATCTTCTATTGTTCATTTCCTACTTCTTCTTTTTTACTCCACCATTATTATTTTCCACTCTATCAAAACAACTTCTATGTTTGTACTCTCTCCCTCTCTCTCAGATTAGCGTACGATCTGGACGCCTACGAAGCAGCCAATGAGAAGCTGCAGAAGAGAAATACGCCTCACAACACAAACCCTGCCACCCCGAGCAAGATGCAGTTCAAAATTCTGTCCGACAGTCAGAACAGCCGGATGTTCTTTGAGGCCATGAAGCTCAGCAACCTAAGGAAGCAGGCGCAGAAACAGAAACAGATCGAAATCAACAACAAAAATTCTTCATCTCCTTTTCAAACTTCCGGCAAATTTTATCATTTGAATTTTGAGCCAATGAGAATCGAGGATTATAGAGAACTAGACGAGAGTAAGATTAATGAGGATTTATCGGAAATTCCAAACAAAATGAAACTACAAAAAATCTTTAATGACCAGCGTGCTATAAATAGCAACAACGTCAATAACTACAACAACAGCAACAACAGTAACAACAACAGCAGCAGCAACAACAATTATTACTATAACAACAATGACGAGTCATGCAAGAATTTAGATTCCCGAAACAACAATGATATCAATTCGGTGGACTTGTGCCGTAACGCTAACAACAGCTATTATAACAACAACAATTGTAATGCAAATACTAACAACAACAACAACATTAATGATGACAACAATAACATGACATACAACAACAACAACTATCAGAAAATAATCTGTAGCAACAACTGCAACAACAACAGTAACAACACATTGTCACTGCCTAAGAATATGACCAACGATGATGAAAATAAAAATCACATTAATAACAAACCAAATAACGTCAACAATAACAATATCATCAACAACAGAATATTACATTACAACAGTCAAAACAATAACATAAACCCACACGCAAAATCCACTCCACAAATTCAAGTAAATTTTTTATAACAAATATTGTTTTTCAGTTATACGTAGGTATAAATTGATTTATATATTTATCCACCATATTGATTAATTAGTCAATGAATGAATGAATGAATTAATTAATTAATCAGTCAATCAATCAAGGTCAATCAGTCATATTAATTATGTACATTTTATATTTATATTTTATGCCGTTTCGTACTTTTTAGCAGACGAACGAAAGAAAGAACATGACGAAGGAAAATATGGCTAAACCCCCAAGAGCAGGTCAAGGTCGAAAGCTACCGAACCTTCCAAAGACGCAGCAGAACAATGTATCAAGACTTTGTTAGTTTTTTCGACATTTTTAGTGAATAATTTTTAGTTTTTTTCGTAAAATAATATATATATATATATATATATATAATCATTCAAAATAGAGAAAAAATTTATACGTTCATTACGAATTTAACTAACTAATTTATCTAATTCAGATAAATTTATTATCTAAAATGCACGTGTTTAAACGACCGATAATGTTATTATACTGGAAGGTGGAAATAAAAACTATGAAATAATAAAAATCTTTAGTTAATTTTTATCCACCATATTGATTAATTAGTTAACGAATGAATTAATGAATAAATAAATTAATTAATTAATCAGTCAATAAATCAATTAAAATGTAAATTAAAATAGCCTCAGTAATGCCTGACCTGATCGCGACAACGAAAGCACCCTCTATTGCAGACGAGATTATGGCAGTCTACAACAGAGAGAAGCACGCGTTGAAGAAGGATTTCATATTCCCAACATGCTGCAGTCCGAAAGAATTGTTCGGTCTGGAAAAAAGTAACATAAATCCGGATAACGTGCGATTAACGATCGACGACCTCGGCTATCCGGATACTGTAGATCCCATTAAGAAGTATGCCGATTTGTATTTGAATGAGATGTACGTCCGGTCTATTATATGCTTCCTTGCATCCATGACTGAAGATATGTACAAGAGACTTCACGACGATGAAGATGGCGGTAGTGATGGGGAGGGTGACGCAAAAGAGAAAAGTGAATCTAAAGAAGAGAAATTTGTGGAGGACGACAGCAAGGAAACATATCCAATTAGTAACTCGCCAGTTGAAATCGAGTTGAAAATCGATAAGACGTCTTTAATCTCTTCCTCTTCTTCTTCCTTGCACGCTTCTAGACAAAATTCTGAACTCGAATCAGAACCTTTCACTCCAGACTCCTTATCATCTTTTGTTAATCCAAGTGCTGCTAGATTACCGTTTAACGAGACGCCAAGAAAAAGTAGAAAGTCGTCTGCCAGTCTCGAATCAGGATTTGACGAAACGAAACGAGATGGTTCGACATGTTCAAGAGGTTTGTCGTAATTAATGTTATATTATCAAAATGTTCCATTTCATTGCATATTCACGATTTATTACAAAATTTTAAACAAGACACAGTTGAAAATTCTTTAGTTTCAAAAAGAACATTTAATACAAATTTTCAGCAACAGATTGCCAATCCGTAATGAGTACACACAGCCATCACAGTGATGGAAGCGACGGCGGCAGCTCCCACTTCCCACCTGGCTTCACGGACATCGAATTTTATCTTGACGAGTCAGACGCCACTCACAGAGGCTGCCACAAGTTTCTGCCGAGACACGACGAAGAAATCGCAGTTGAAATCGGCGACAATTTGTATATTGAGAAGGAGCATGACGATCTATGGTGCGAAGGTCGGTCTCTTGTAGAAATACTTCTCAATTAGTTAGCCCACGTTCTTGTTTGAAATATCCAATTGCTTTAGAGCTGAAAATACTTTTATCACCTTCCATTTCCAGGTATCAATCTACGAACTAAAAAGCGAGGAATATTTCCGACAGCGTACGCCACGGATTTGAGCTTGATGGGTGATGGTGAGAGAATGTTTAAAAAAATCTTCATATACCACATGTATTGAAACTTTTCTAAATAATTCCATGCAGCTCCAAAAGTCAAATACTTTGTAAGCTTTCTTGGCAGTATTGAAATCGGACAGCACAACGGTCATGACATTCTCTGCAAAGCCATTAAAAAGGTACGAACAGATGAAGTAAAATACTCCGAATGTATTTTAAATATATTTTTAAATTTTCATTATTTTTAAAGATCATATCCAGCAAGAACAAGCAGAAGGATGCGCCGCTGAACCTCTCCTGTCTTGAAATTGATGAGAACGGCGTGAAAGTTTCAGAAAGAAAAAAGGTAAAAAATTAGCAATATCCATTTTTATGCAACAACAGTGTAGTAGTACCTTGACATACATTCGTGTTCAACTATTTATTCAATCGTTTATAATTGAAATTTTCAATTGCTTGATGAAATAATTTTTTTTTCAATTAGAAAACTCCGACGTCGAGAATATTGAGTTCGCTAGGCAAGTTGTCTCTGCTGAAAAACCTACAAGAAAATGAGCACGTGTTTCTATTGAAGAATATAACATTTTGTGGCATCCTTCCAAGCAACGACAAGTAACTAACCACTCGACAAAATATTGCTACCCGCGTTTTTCTCATTATTTCTCATTTTTTAGTATCAATTTTTTTATCTAATTTATCCACATTTATCAAAACTGTATTTATAAAATGTCTGAAAGTGAACAAAAGATCCAAAAAAGTAGCAAAATGAAAATCCCAAACAGGTACATGGGCTTCATAACAAAACATCCCGTCTGCATGAAATTCGCCTGCCACGTCTTTCTCGCATCCAACTCTGCTCGTCCAATCGTCGAAGCCATCGGGTTCGTTAACTTTTCAACGTTTAAAACTCTTTAAATTATTTTTTTTACTCAATTTCACCTCTTCATTCATTTTTTAATCAACCTTTCCATAAAATTTGAAGCAAATTTTGTGTTTTGGTGATTCTAATTATCTTAATCAGCAAGTTCGCTGCTCCATTTGCAACGTTATACAACCAATAGAACAACACTCAAATATATACTGAAATCTTTTCCTTCCCAAACAGAGGTGCTCTAAGCAGGTTCCATCAGGAATTTCTGACAGTGGTGTATCCAGTAGAGGACATTTATTTTGAATGAAGAGAGTACTTATGATAGATAACAGTGGGACCGGGGCTGCGAAACGAAATATATATCCAGATATATATTTATCCAGAGTAGGAACATTTTTTCTTTTATGATTTATTTGTGGCCAAGTCATCAGTTAAGTGAGAAAACCTGCTTATAATTAAAAGTATTGTTTGCAAACATGTCTAGTCATTTAGATCATTAATTTGCTTTTTCGTTGTCACTAATGTAAGAACTTTATTCTATTCTTTCATCCTTCATTGAAGTTTCAACTGTGGTAACAACTTTCCAAGTTTCAAAATTCTAAATTAAATTTTTTTTTCAACAACACCAACAACAATATCTAACCCATTTTCCATTATTTTGCTGTAAAATTATGAAAATTTGTGTTAAATAATAATTAAAATTCTACTATATTAATTTAAAAACGCACATTTAAATATTTCCTAATCTCCTAAACGTTCTTGAAATATAAATTGTGAATATTCTGACAGAATTCAGTGAGATTTTCATATTTCTTCAATTTTTCTAAGAGCTGGCTGTCGATCAGTGTGGTAGTCAGTATGGTGAACAAGTAACCAAACACTAGGGCATCCAGTTCTGTTGGCCTGAGACAAATTTACAAGAGCTTAGCAAATAAAATTATTCAAAGTGTAAACAAGTAAATAAAATAATTAAAAATATACAAAAACTCAAAAATTTATTGCTAAAAAAGTGATGAATTAATCAATCATTGAAGTTTGTTTAAATCTAAGCTGCACTCAAACACCTGATGAACATGAGTAAGATGATGCAAGACGAAACTGCCTAAAATAATTAAAGGCATGTTGTATGTACACTGTTAGCAAAGGAGAGATGGGCGGTTTATGAAATAAATTAATATAAAATACAAACGATAAAAAATGATTGTTTAAAGCGTGAAACTCACTTTGAACCAAAGAAAAACTCTTCAGTACCGAGTTTGTTTGAAAGTGCCTGCAAACATTTATCAAGCTCAGCATACACCTGGAACAGAATTTAATCAATTTTCATTTTAACTGCGTACGTAAATGTATTTATTTATGTATTCCATTTTAACAAATGAATAAACAATAAATAAATCAATAAATCAATCAATAAATCAATCAATCAACCAACCAACCAACCAATCAACCTACCAATCAACCAACCAATCAATCAGTCAATCAATCGACCAACAAATCAATCACTCAATCAAGACACCTGATCAAGAGACTTATTGATCCACCCGTCTTCTTTCAAAAGCCTGACCACCTGCTTCCTCTTTCTCCAGGGGAGGATTTTGTAGAGAGGCCACGAGTAGCCAAACCCACTTCTTTGTTTCGTTATCTGGGGAGGAAAATTGTGAAATAAAATGCGACCTTGGTCTAACCCTAACTCTCTCTCTCTCTCACTCACACACTCACGCACGCACACACAAGAATGCACGCACGCACACACAAGAATGCACGCACGCACACACACACACGCACACGAACGCACGCAAGCACACACACACGAGATAGAACATTAAAGGAAGCCATTTTTAAAAATTGTTTCATTCAAAATTAAGCGGAAGAAAAAATGATTAAAACTTAATGTAAAATCACTAAAATTGAAAATAAAATTTGCGGATAAATATAAAACTAGTAAAATCTAAAAACTGGCCTAACCATATTGTAGTTGTCTTCATGTACCCACATGACATAGAGCTTTTAAATAAAGTAAAATTAACAATCCAGATATAATTGCTTGGATTAAGAATGTAACAAAACATAATTCATTTAATATAATCAATTATAAATTCAGTCATGAATACCATTAACAATTACGATTTAATATTATAAAATTTATATTAAATATTATTATTAATTATTATTATTATAATTAAATATGAAATTATGAACAAATAAAAACGTACAAGAACGTTATTTAGCGTTGACTTGGTCAGTGTTATGTAACTTTTGACGTCTGCAAACTGTTCACTGGTTAAACCACCAGATAATGAGTAACCCTGCGATTTTGAAAAAAAAATTAACCTACAACAATACAATTATAATTATTAATGATAAATTTATAAATTTATTTATGTTTTTTGTAATAACATTAATGACTACAGTTATTATTATTATTTTATATGTCATTTTAATTAATTTACCAGCATTTTTATGGCAGATTCAAAAATGTATTATAAATTTTTATTTGATTAAAAAATAAGATAACACAATTCTAATGTTATTATTATTATAAATATAATAATAACAATAATTATTATGACAAAAATAATAATAATTATTATTGTTATTATTATACTATAATTATTGTTCGCAAAATTTTCACTTTAGCACTGATGAATGTAACAATTGAATCGAACTCTGATATCAATATGGGTCCAACTTTTAAAAATGGAACTTCTCCTAAGTGGGAAAAAAATGAAAAACTAATTCTTAATTTTAAAATAGTTTGATAAATATAATTTACTTATTCATTTATTTAATTAATAATTAATTTTAAATAATTAATCTTAAATAATTAATTAACCAACTGGATGGCGACATAAACTCAGCATTGGATCTCAGTTCTATTTGATATTTTAGGTCAGCCATATTTAAAAATGTTTTAACACTGAGACAATTTGCAAATTCATTCATCAGGATTTGATCCACTGTGAATATAATTACAATATAATATAATATAATATATAATTAAATATAATATGATTGATTACTAATTAAATAAAAACTAATAAAAATTATATAACACAAAGTTATAAAATACATTTATTTATTGTTGAAACAAAATCTACCCTCAAATGGTTGAAACAATTTGACATCTTCTGGCCAATTTTTGCCATCTGGAGTAAATGTTGAAAAAAAAGTGTATTATTAATAATGATAATTATTAATTTTCATAAAAAATAAAAAAATTTAGTAATCATAGATTTGCAGTTCAAAAAATAATAAAATGAAATAGCTATTGATAACTGATAATATATATATAATATTTATTTAATTAAACTAAAATTAACCTTATATAATTATTTTATATTATTATATTAAGAATTAATAATGTTGGTTCAAGTTTAAGAAGGTTGACCAAGCCAAGGGTTAAGATAAGAACAAATCCTTAACAAACCTGCCAATCCAACAGTAGCTGCAGCACTGATGAGGCTCGTCATGTTTTCGATTTTGTTGAAGTTTGAAGTTAAACAGTAAACACTAATTTACCTAATTATGTCGTAGGCAGACGTCACTTTTTATACTCGAATGACAAATATAAGAACGCTTTAGTTCCCATTTGAACACAAACTGCGATGAAAAATGCATTTTAGTAAGAATCGTTATAGGTTTAATTTCGATTTCAGATGAATAATGAGCATGCTTTGGTTAGTTAAGTTGTGGATCCACCCAACGCTGTCGTTAGTAAGCTGTACTAGTTTTTAAAAACTAGTATAACATAAGTATAACAATTATATTTGAATGATGGGAATGATTTGTGGCATGATTCCCGACTGTTTCCTATCCGATCTTTTAAATTCTAACTTTCAATTTTTAAATTTTATAGTTTCAGGTTTCATTTGCTAAACGTTTAATTTTTACAAGCTAGATAACTAGTTGACCTAGTGAACCTCACTCCTCAAGTTATGCCACAATTTATGAATATTCTTTTCAAACAAACCCATGGAACATTTTAAACACGATAATTTTGAAGACATATATTGAGAAAAGCTTCTAAAATATTAAACAATATACAAGTGGCACAAACGCTGGAGCAGTTTGATTCAAGCTAAAAAATTGTATTCAAGTGTGTTGTCACAACGCATTAGGTAAAGTTAGGCAAACATAATCTAAATACAAAATCGTATAACTATCACAAAAGTTATTTCTGTTTCTTAGCACTGGGTTGCATATATTTATCAAAACGATTTTTGAAATTATCGTGATCATCATCGTCGTTGTCCTCATCATCAAAAAAATTGACACCCCGCTTGACGCTTTTTCCCTGAGATGAGGACGTTGTCATGGACATGGAGTTGAACATGTCTGTTATTTTGCCGGAGGGTTTTGTCGTTCTCTTTGCGTTGGCGGGTTTACTTTTCTGTTTGCTGTTGCTGTAGTTGTCGTCATCATCGTCGACGTCGAAGATGCACGTGTCTTCGTCATCGTCATCCACGTATTCATTCTTTATTGCCTTTTTACTGTGGAATCAATGAGTAAGTAGTTTGAATGTAAATATCAATATAATGAATTGAAATGATTTATGTAGCTTAATTCATACCAATAAAGCTGAGCTCTCAAAAATGAATGAAAAATTTTAAAAATTTACGGCCACGTTTTTCATGTAAATATATTGCATTATTTTTTACCAGACGGACAAACATTTCGATAAAACAACTGACAATCATCAAAAAATATATTTAAAACTGATAAATTTTAAGAAAAAATTCGAAAAAATATTAAATAACCCTCCAAACCTTGAAACACTTCTATCGGCTTTTAATGGACTATCATCATTAGCTTTTCTTGTGCCACCCCTGGCTCCCCTTCCACCCCTGGACCCCCTCCCACCTCTCGATCCTCTTCCACCACGCGATCCTCTTCCTCTTGCCGGTTTTTCATCCATTTGCTTGCTTGCTGCACTGAACGACATATCATAATCGTCATCGTCATTTCTTCCTTTTTCGCCATCGTCCTCATCTCCGAAGGAACTACTTTTGGATTTTTTAGCTGGTTTTGGTTTGCAACTTGCATGGACGTCGTCAGCATCGTCATCGACCTTCATCACGTCGTCGTCATCATCTCCAAATGGGTTTTTACCGGTTCGCTTGCTCCTAGCAAGTTCTATAGCCTCTCTCAACTCCTGATCCTGCACAGTTGAATCCTTCCTTCGTTCTTCCTTGAACCTGAGAATTTCGTCGTCAAGGGCATCGTCGTTCGGGTTTCGTTTCATGAGATAGTTGCGAGTCTTGTTGATTTGATGTTTGATGAGCTCCTCTATGGCGTCTCGCTCCTCCTTCAAGACAAATTCTTTCACAGCCTCACCCAGCCCCTGCTCAGTTAGCAGGCTCAGCTGCATGCTCTGCACAGTTGAAATGATGCAAATGCTGACTGAGTAATGTCAATGTGACGATGATAACAACGACGATGTTGGTGATAGCAATGATGATAGTGTAATTAAGTAATGTTTATGTAGTTGACAATTTCAACGAAGGATACAACAAACTAAGGATGAGCCTAACAATTTTTTTCAACAACTATTTACTAAAACATAAAAACATACTCTATATATACATAAATGTATAGAGTATGTTTGTATAGTTATAAATATATATACATATTAAAAATAATATTATCAATCAATCAATCAATCAATCAATCAACATAAATTAATAAATTTAAAAGCCCAAAGTCCTAACTTTATCAGCTCTTGAGAAATACTCCTTAACCATATCTTCAACACGAGTACAATCAAGTGATTCAGCTCTAACCTCTATATCGACTGAAACATCTGTGGCTATTTATTTGTACTATAATTTATTATAATTATTTAAATTATTACTATTTGAATTATTTATTGTTACTTCTTGTATTGCACGACAGACATTCAAACATGCACACATATACACTTACAAAGAAAGACACACATAAACACACACACACACACACTCACGCTCACACACACATACACACAAAACAAATACAAAGAAATACGTGAAAATACACAGTACCTGCTTCTTCTTTTACCCTTGTACTCTTTTTTCTTTGAAAAAATATGATGTCCTTTGGATTGGCTACTTTGTCCATATACCTCTGACCAAACCTGCAGCAGAGTTTTATGAAAAAAAACCCATCCTTGGTATTTGAAGACATAGGCATACAATTATTTAGGGGCGGCGTGATGGTTCAATGGTTAAAGGCGCCTGGTCTTGCTATTGCATTGACTGGGTTCGAATACAAAGAGATCCCCGCCTATCTTATGCAATGTGTATGATGCGTGGTTTGCATGCGTATTCATATACGCTGTGTGTGTTTGTCGTTGAAACCTCTGAAGCAAACGCAAAAGAGAGAGAGAAACCTTTAACCTTTTAACCTTTACATATACACATATACACAAAAAACTCAACTTAATTATATCTATTTCATACTATATTTCATATTTAAAAGTTAATTTGTTTTATTTTCTCAAAGTTTAATCATGGTCTGTACAATTCAATCCATTTGAGACATATAAAGGAGCTAATTTTCATCATGTCTCATAAGAAGAAATAAAGTTATATAGGTTCAGTCACTATGCAAATGAATTAGCCTTTGTTTGTTTAATTTATTTTTTTAAATCTTTGATATTTTTCACTTAGATAAATGAAATATTTTTACTTAAAAAGTTGATGAAACAAAATGATAGGCTAAGATTTAAGAAACAACAGTTATAGAACTAAATCAAATTTGACATGTCAATCACAAGCTAAACCAGATTTTTATGAAAATTTGATTTCAAAATAAATTGAAAAAAAAACATAATAGGTTTAAGGCTAGTAAAAAAAAACCTGTGTGTGCTGAACAGCTCGTACGAGAAGTCAGGGTCGTTGCTACTGTAGTCGACCCTCAATCTAATCAGCGGCTTGTCTGGGGTGGCTTTGTTGCCAGCCCTCTCATGTTCTGTTTTGCCATTTATTTATAATTTTTTAATGTGAAAAAACTATATAATGAAATGATGTTACTAGGAAAATAAAATTCATGTTCGAATCAACATCTAAAAAGCTCTAAAGAGAATATTTAAATTTAAATGCAAATAAAAAATAACAAAAAGAGAGCTTTCACAAAAAATATTTGAAATTTTAAGCAAAACTAAATAAAAAATGGAAAAATTAACAAACCAGCCCTTTCCAACAATCTTTCCATAACTTCCGAGCAATAATCTTCAATTTTTTTTGCGGCTTGCACGTCCCTGGGTTTGATGTTCGTCTCACTCAGTACAATATCTTCTAGATAAAACTGCCTAACAGTGTTTAGTTTAATTTTCTTGACTTTGAAATTTTTTTCTTTGATGAAGAGTAAGCCAACATGTTTTTCTTTTGTTTCTCCATCACTAAGAGATGTAGCGATAGAACTACCAGGCTGGGTGATGTAAAAATTCTGAACACCATTCCAACTCGGTTCAATTATGCACTCGTGTTCGTGTCCCCACATCACGAGGTCTAGGAAATCATCGAGGAACTGCTCTGGAATGTAACTTTTTGGACCGTGTTTAGCTCTATTCTGGTGGATAACAAACAAGTTAAACCACTTCTCCTTCTCCTCCTTCGGCCTCAACATCTTAAAATTTTTCTGAGTAAATATTCGATGAAGGCGCTCATCTCTCAGGGCACCTAACCCATATAAGGCTAATTTGGTTGAACCCTTGGTTAGTAGGAGGGGACTGACTTCAATTTGTTCTAGGTCAAGGACTTTACCAAAATAATTTACAAGGCCAGCAGAGTGTAAGATGTCTAAGGAGCAGAGGTTGTCTTGACCGGCTGGGTCATCATGGTTTCCATGAATGGAAAAGACTGGAATGGAAATATTCATGTTAGGGTCTTCATAATTGACTATGGGGAAAGGGGTGTGTCCAAAATTGATGGAAGGATCACTGAGGAACGCAACAGAACATGGTTTGTCTCCATGACAATACTGTCTGAATAATTTAATGGCCCCATGTAAACTTTTTCTAGAAGGCTTATTCTCATGAAACAAATCTCCACCGAGTAGAATAAAATCGACATCATTTTTTTGTGCAATTTTTAAAATTTCTTCAAAGGTGTTCAACGAGTCATTGGCTCTACAACTGTCCTTCTCCATGTAGCCCAGGTGACAATCTGTGGCGATCAAAATTTTCAACGTGTCCTCCGTATCAGCATCTCCATTCGTAGCCGTGCTGTTCATTGCTTATTGGCAGATTTTGTCTTCAGGTTTACTGGTTTGGTTATTTTTACAACAAAATGAAGAAAATGATTCTGTTGGTTTTACAAACAAATGAGAATCAGTTGATTAGTATTATTTTATACTTAGCAATGAGATAATCCAAATAAATTATTTTTATTCATTTCCATCTACACTAACTACAAACTACACTAATTAAAACTTTGATGAAGGTTTGGCCAAGTTTAATTTTGGGATGATGTTAACTGTTAAGTAAGAAGACGAAAGATGAGAAAGATGGTTTTGATTTTGTGATCATATCAGGTCAGCACATGGCCAAGCAAGAATGGAACTGCGATGAAAGTTGGAATTTTCCAATTTATGCTGCTTCAAATGATCAAAATAATTTAATTTACAAAATGATTTCTTAATTTACATTCTCTAATCTGTCGCAATAAATTAATAAACTACAAGAAATTCATTTTCGAATTGCACAACAAAATGTAAAAGAAGCCAACGCGAGAACACACTTGACCCATTTAAAAATATTAAAAAACGCGCTCAATTGCTCTCAAATCACTTACAAAGTACACGTTTTTTGAACGATACCTTTGATTGCCCACATAATTTGTAGCATATAATTAGAATAATTAGAATAAACTGTAGCCATTAACTAATAAAATGTCATCATTTTATTGATAAACACAATTCATTATATTATATACAGGGAAAATTGTCGATTTTATACTTATTAACTTGATTAATTTCTTAATATATGCGCAAGGAATGACAATTTAGTTACAGATGATTGTGGATGACTGAGGATATATTTCAGGGCTATCGTTCAGTTCCTATTAAAAATTTCGTTCAAATTCCATAACAGCATTTATATATTATAAATTGTAGAAATTTTTTTTTAAAAAGATCACGATAAAGAATATAGCATTATACTTGTCTACCAAATTTTGTCTATTAATTAATTAATCGATTAATCAACCATAATCAATTAATCAACTAATTAATTAATTTGTTAAATAATTCTATAATTTTTTATACTGACATAACCAGAGGAATCAAGTTTGATGTATTTAAATCACATAAATAAAAAATTGTACTATTTTAAATCAGTGGCGTCATTTCAGATTTTGGTTGGGGGGGGGCGAACTTGTGTGGTCTATGACTTAGCATGTAACATATATATATATATATATATATATATATATATATATATATATATATATATATATATATATTATTAATAAAGATCACGGCGTTTCTTACAGTACTCAATCTATATGATAGTTTCTCGATTCTTCGAATAATTCTCCGATCTACTAAACTTAACTTGTTAATGCTATTAACAAAATTCCTATTTACAGAAGATGTCATTATCTACATGTACGCATATAGTACTATTTCCACTACCTAGTCTCGTCAGTGCAACATTATAATAAATTTTACATTTTTAAAGTTTTTAAAATTTTAAAATTTTAAAAGTTTTAAAATTACAAAATTATATATCCTATATATATCCTTTTTACATAGAATTTAAAATTAACACTTTTATAATTTAAAACAGAACATGAATTATTGTAGGAACAAATGAAATAAATTGTATAGCGCTTGACATTTAAAAATTCACAAAGCACAATACTTTGTATATATAATTATAATAAATTATATAATTTTATATAATTATTTTATAGGGTTTGCAATTTTGTCATAATAATTTCGTACAGCAAAAATTTAGAATTTTGATTTCTTGGGGGGGCAATTGCCACCCCTGCCTCCCCCCAAATGACGCCTGTTTTAAATTAATAAACTCTTCTCATTTTTGTTATTTGTATATGTACACACATTTAAAACACCATTTAGCATTGTTATTTCTGCTGTTCACTCTTTTTTTTACCCTATGTTCATATTTCAAACTTGATAACATGACAAAATTTAACAAGTTTTTTGATGTGTCCCGACCATTTGTCAACCTAATGAACAGCGTACGTTTAAAACATTTTAAATGGCTTCACGCCATCATAAAAAAGCTCGACGGCAATACTAAAAGAATAAATATCGTGTTTGAAAATAATAATTTAGGTTTAAATAATTTTAATAATTTATCTTTCATGGTCGCGGTACTATGTGCTCATGCATAAGCTGGCTCGTATGTATATGTTTGTGTGTGTATGTGGGTGTGTGTGCATGTATGTGTGTATGTATGTATTATATGTATGTAGGTGGGTATCTATGTAGGTATACAATACATTTATACGCACGTATGCATCGCACTGAATGCAGCCAAGATCTGTTGACGCGAAAATTGCTTTAAATGCAGATGACACCGAGATAATTATCCTTCCTTATTTATTGTTTACTTTTATATTAAACAGTTTTTTTTATAAAAAGTTGGCGTCGAATTATTTTTAATATTTTTATAGCTCTTAAAAATAATTCTATTTTCATACGAAATTTTTTTTACCAAGAGATGTCATTCCGCCATCATCATAGTTTGATAAAATCCCTATCATCATCCAGTTCTTCCTCTCAGAATCACTCCCAAACAAGCGATAACAACACGGAAAAACCTAACCCCCATAAAAAAGTATCCATCACAATGTCAGGAAATTCGACTCATTCGAACAGCGAACATCAGTCTAAACTGACCAGAACGAGAACGCTCAGTCAGAAAAATTCTTCTGTTTACTTTTCGCGAAACCTTGCAAACAGCAGCCCGTCGTCTCCAAGCAACAGCAGCAACAAAAGCAACAACAGCAGCAGCAGCAGCCAGACACCAACACTTTCTACTCTGTTAATAGACGACCTTGACATTCCTCCCTCCAATTGTTATAGGCTGGTACTTTTAGGCTCATCTAGGGTCGGCAAGACGAGTATTGTATCGAGATTTTTGAGTAATTGGTTTGATGATCGGTACACACCGACTATTGAGGACTTTCATCGCAAAATATATCGGATCAGAGGTGAAACGTACCGACTGGATATACTCGATACTTCCGGCAATGATCCGTTTCCGGCGATGAAGAGGCTCTCTCTGTTGACAGGTTTGATGTGATCTGATCTTCTCCTACTTCTTCTTCTTCTTCTTCATCTTCTTTTTCTACTTCATCATCATCATCATCATCATCATCTTCTTCTTCATCATCTTATCACTTATTATTTGACCGCTTCATTGATACACCCAAAAAAAATTAAAAAAATAAAGTTTTTCAAGTCTTGAAATTTTTTTAAAAATTCCAAATGAGGTTTTTAAATAAATAAATCATTTATCATCCATGGTGAAAATGGCGCCAAAAATTATTTATGGTCCAAAATTTATTACGTGATATAGAGACACAGGTGGACACATACAAACACACATGTACACGCACACACACGTACACACATGTACACACACACACATACATACACACACACAAGCACACACACACACACAAGCACACACACAAGCACGCACACTGTACCAAAACACATAAACCGTCATATCACATACCATCATCTTTGTCATCATTACTACCACCATGATAATAATAGTAGTAGTAATAATAATAATAATAATAATAATAATAATAATAATAATAATCATCATCATCATCATCACCAACAACATCATCATCACCACCACGAACGCGGTCATTCTTTTCAATCAGCGCGCACGGATGCCAATGAAAATTATTCAACATCATATCTCTTCCTTTTCCGGTTGCTGTTATTATTATTATTATTATTATTATTATTATTATTCACACACTCGCACACACACACACATAAATCTAAGTGATAATGAAGCTGAAATGTTGTTTCATTGTTTTGGTGTTGAATGAATGAATGAATGAATAAATGAATGAATAAATGAATGAATGAATGAATGAACAAATGAATGAATGAATGAACGCAATGATTTAAGTTTTAATTAATGATTAGATTGATAGGAGGAGGAATTGATAAATGAATAAAAAACAATGGTATCATTTGGCTATTGAAACGTTTTAATTAAGAGTTAGTAATTAAATAAAAAAAAACAAACGAACGAACGAACGGATGAACGAATGAACAAATGAACGAATAAACGTATGAACAAGCTAATGAATGAGTAAATAAAAGACCTAACGAATGGATAAAAAAGCAAATAAAAGAATGGGTGGTTAAGCAAGATGTTACTTATATAATTAGATTAGAAATAGATATCTATCTCTATTGCAAAACAAATGAATGAGTAGATGAACGAACGAACGAAAGAACGAACGAATGAACAAATGAATGAATGAATGAACGAACGAACGAACGAAGGAATGAACGAATGAATTTATGAATGAATGAATGATGAATGGATGAATGAATGAATGAACGATGTTGAAAGATAATTAATAATAATTATAGTTATAAAAATTGAAAAATAATTATTATTATGATAAATAATAATAATGGAAAGATCGATAAATATTATGATTAAAGGAAAGAAAAAACTGCAAATGATAATCCGGACGTGAGAAATGATGACAAAGATGGTCTGACATGCAATATAAACACGAAGTTACTGAACTGTTTTGACTGCCACTACCACTACTACTATTACTACTACTACTACTACTATTACTACTACTGCTTCCACAACAACTACTACTGCTACTACCACTACCGTCACGACTACAACTACTGCAGCTACTTCTACTGCTACTTCTACTACTACTGCTTCCACAACAACTACTACTGCTACTACCACTACCGTCACGACTACAACTACTGCAGCTACTTCTACTGCTACTTCTACTACTACTGCTTCCACAACAACTACTTCTGCTACTACCACTACCGTCACTACTACAACTACTGCAGCTACTACTACTGCTACTTCTACTACTACTGCTTCCACAACAACTACTACTGCTACTACAACTACCGTCACTACTACAACTACTGCAGCTACTACTACTGCTACTTCTACTACTACTGCTTCCACAACAACTACTACTGTTACTACCACTACCGTCACTACTACAACTACTGCAGCTACTACTGTTACCACAACTACTGCAACGTGTTTATTGCTAAAACATCTCCTGCTTATTTGTCCATTTTTTGAGTGCATGAATTTTGTATGTTTCTTCGCATATTTTTTTACAGTTTTTAATAAATAAATTTACTACTACTACTTTTGCTGCTGCTACTACTACTACTGCTGCGGCTACGACTACTACTACTACTTCCACAACTATTAATTCTACTACTGCTACCACTACTGCTACTACTACTACTATTACTGCTACTATAAAAATTATAAAAACTTAAATTAGAGGCAAAAAGTATTATACGGAAAAAACAATTTTCTTAATTAATAACTATTCAGAGTTTTTTCCAAATCAATCAATTAATTACTTTTTTAATTAATCAAGTAAGTGAAATACTGTATTAGTTATTAAGTAGATAAAGCAAATTAATTAGACACTCACTCACTCACTCACTCACTCACTCACTCACTCACTCACTCACTCACTCACTCACTCACTCACTCACTCACTCACTCACTCACTCACTCACTCACTCACTCACTCACTCCCTCACTCACTCATTTCTTTATTCATCATTTAATCCGAAGAAGAAAGAGAGAGCTTATATTAGCCAAGTCTCAATTTTCCGAGTGATTCCGACATTTCACGAAAGTAAATAACAATTGAGTAGTAGTAGTAGTAGTATCAGCAGCAGTAGTAGCAGTAGTAGTAGTAGTAGTAGTAGTAGTAGTAGTAGTAGTAGTAGTAGTAGTAGTAGTAGTAGTAGTAATAGGAGTATTAGTAGTAGTGGTAGAAGTAGTAAAAATGGTTAATAAATAAAAAATAAATTTATTAATGAATAAATGAATTAACTAATTAATGATTGATTGATTGATTAATTGATTGATTGATTGATTGATTGATTGATTGATTGATTGATTGATTGATTGATTGCTTGTTTGTTCATACCTTTCATTCATTCATTTTATTATCGAATGGCCCAGTGTTTATTTATATTTATTTTTTTGAAATAAATTGATGAATGATCGAAAAAATGAATGAAAGTATGAATGAATGAATGAATAAAAAAGGAATGAAATATTATCGAATGATCTAACGAATAAATGACTAATGAATGAATGATTCATTCATGTTCATTGATTGAAAGAATGGGTGAAATATCGGATGAATTGACGGATAAATGGATTATCGAATGAACTAACGAATAAATAAATGAGTGAATAAATAAATAAATTTATGACTACACAAATAAATAATTATTGGGAATTTGAAAGAAATGAATTTTCCAACGGCACATAGTTACGAGAAAATATAAAATTCATTTGATATTAGCTCTCAAACCATGGCAACAAACAAATACAAATAAAAAGCTGCAATGATTTTTTTTAAATCTTCTCGTCAAACTTGGTAGAATGCTTGTTTCGTATGGCCACATGTAAGTTAAATTTGTGTGTCGTCACCAGGTTCGAAAGCACGTTCAGCCAAACGTTTCTATAGTATATTAAATTTATAATTTAAAATTTTTAGCAACATGCAATAAGCAACTTAAATAAAATTATGAACAACCTAACATATTCAACAACCACATATAAAACTTCCACACATACAAGAAACACACACACCTACAACAACCACTCACACAACAGCAACTACACATACAACAACAACCACACATACATCAACAACCACGCATACAACGACAGATACATATGCAGCAACCAAATAAGCAACAACTACACATGCAGCAACCACACATGCCTCAACCACAGATGCAACAACCACAGATACAACAACCACATACACAACAACAGCCACATATACGACAACAACGCAACTACTTAAACGACAAAAAAATGCCGGAACGTTCGAGAAACACAGCCAGGATTGCTTTAAAATTCAATAAATTTTTCAAAATTAAAACATAATCGAAACAGCAAAAAAAATTTTTTCTCTCCAAAATTTTTCATATTAACTTATCCCTTCGTGATAATTTGCAGTCTGTTCAAGAAACCACAGCGAAACTTGTTGCTGGTTATTCTAAATTCGATTCCCTATTATCATACATCAGAGAGGATCTGCGCTGGCGCTGCATGTCAGAAAGAATCGTTTTCAAGCTAGCTCTTCTAGTCAGTGGCTGTCCTGCTTGTGAGTCTCCAACTTATTTAAAAGAGCAACTACTTTCAGAAATTGCAAATCGGAGTCGACTGAGATCCTCCGATGATGGTGATCTTGTGCTTCCTAAATTCAATTCCTCTCGTTTTGGCAAGTGAAGATTTTTTGTTTCGTCTGCAAGTATCTGGAACTCACTATCTGTATATTTGGAGAAATTCAACAACACGAGCCGATATGTTTTCAAGAAACATTTGAAGCATCATGTGTTTTGACATTTTCGAGTGAAGTTATTCAATAGTGGCGCTCCTCAAATTCTTCGCTACTGGTACAGATACATACAAACAAAAAAAACCACAACATCAAAATCTTGAGTAAAATCCGAATAGTGAATTAAAATCTTACTATTTTTTAAAATACTCAACTACTAATAATGTTAATCCACAATTATTGTTTTGGGATTTAAAAAACGAAAATTGCAATACTTGGTTGTATTCGTCTTTTAAAAATAGCAAGGGCCGGGCCAAATATTAGTTGCATCCGTACAAAATCTTTATCTTTATACATCATCTTCATCTTTATACACATCTATCTATCTAATCATAATACACACATACAGACATACATACACACATACAAACAAACATACATACATACTGGCCTACATGTATTCAGTAAATCACCATATTAAACCGGACCATGTTATGTTCAAAACGTAAAATGAAATTTATGAACTCCAATGTTTGATTTCGTTATCGTGTACGCGTGTGTGTGTGTGTACGTGCAAATGTGTGCACGTGCATGTGTGTTTATGTGTGTAAATGTGTATGTCATCTTTGCCGTCGTTGTCATTTTTAATCTTGAAACAAAAACGAGATAATAATTTGATATTTTAATTATTGCTTATGTAAATACAAACGCACACACACATATGTACACACACACGTACACACACGCACGCACACACGCACACCCACGTACACACACGCACGCATCTACATTTCAGTATCCAATGACAAATTTCAGTCTGCAATTTTAGCGACGACGTTTCATTTCTACTTACATGCTAAGTGATCTTTTTTGTTTTCCATTTTTTCCTTTTCCTGTTTGGATCACGTGATTAAAAGCGTGGCATGGGATTGGTTGAAAGTAAAAACTCTCTGGTTGGTTGGTTGGTTGAAACAGCTAGTAGATAGACAGATAGATAGATAGATCGCTGTCTGGCTGGATGGATGGATAGACAGACAGACAGACAAACAGACAAACAGACAGACAGACAGACAGCCAGATAGATAGATAGATAGATAAATAGATAGATAGATAAACCAGACGGACAATTAAGACGGGAAATCTGAACCAGCTGTTGACTGCATTCCATCATTCTGGGAAAAATTTAACTCTAACATCATCATCATCATCAACATTGTCAAGTATAATATCGTCATCACCACCATCGTCGTCGTCATCATCATCATCGTCGTCATCATCTTCCTTATCATCATCATTTTTGTCTTCATAATCATTATCATTACGTTGACGTAGTTTTTTTGATAATGATGATGATAATAAGGATGACGATGACGACGACGACAATGATGATAAGGAAGACGATGACGACGACGATGATGAAGACGCTGAAGCTACTTCTGCTAATTTTTCTTAAATTTTTTCACAGACGCCATTGCACACCGTTTTAATTTTTTTAATTTTTATTGCTGATGGAACCGTTGAATGGTGTTGGATGGCCGGTTTTTACAGCTTCTTAGTGTTCGCTTTGGAATAAATTTATTCCAGAAACTATCCAATCGGTGGCTTTTTCATTCACTTTTTGCAGGAACATTCAGCAAGTAAACATCGTCCTAAAACAATTCCGAATATTTTCTTCTTATTTAAGAAATAAAAAATCTGGAGTATGGTTTTTGACACACCCACACACAAACAATAACCACAACAAATACATTAGCAACAATAAACCAACAACAGCAACAACAAGTACATCAACAGTAATGACATCAAAACAACAAACCAATAGCAACAACAAAAACAACAACAACAACATTGACATAATAGTGCACACCAATAGCAGTAATGAGAATCTCAAACGACCAGAAAATGAATTATTAAGAAATATATTGCGCGCTACATAAATAGCTAAGCAGAAGTTTTATAGGGACGATAAAAAATTTTTGTTCATTGCTTTTTTTATTTTTATGGTGGTAGTAATCTCAAAATGGCTGACTCTGAAATAGGGTGAATATTGTTGTGGTGGTGCTTATGCTGAAAATGACGTATTTGGTGTTGATGACAATGATGAAGTTGGTGATGATTGTGATAAAGTAGGTGATGATGATGTTGATGATGATCACCATCATCATGATAGTGATCATGATGATGATAGTTATGATAGCGTTGATTTAATTATAAAGTAAACTATTTCAAACAAAGTTTTACTTAACTAAAACCAAGTTTTTTTTTTTTTTTTTTTTTTTTGAAAAATTGAAAAACCAAGAACTACCACACATACGCCGCATCATCAGCACCAGTCGCCGTAGTCGTACTAGCAGCTGCAGCAGTAGTAGCAGCAGAAGTAGCAGCAGCAGTAGTAGCAGCTGCTTCAAAGCAATAGTAGCAGCTGTAGTAGTACTAATATTGTTAGTAGTAGTAGTAGCAATAGCAAAAGTAGCAGGTCACCGCAAACAAAAATTTTATCTTTCAACGACAATAATTAAACATTGGCTAACAATGCCCTTACTGACGCCCACGTAAAATATTTTAAGTTCAAGGTTACTCTAAAAAACTGTCTAACCCTAAAAGGTCTTGACCTTAGGATAAATTGTTGAAAAACGAAAAACACTCATATAAACTTAGTACATACTTACATTCCTGTATAAAGATACTCACTCTTTTTAACTCTCTTTCTCTCTCTCTTTCTCTCTCTCTTTCTCTCTCACACCGAAACGCAAACATACAAACATGCAAACATACATTGTTTTGATCGATTTATTGATATTCTCTTCTATATTCATCTAGTAGTTGTTCTTTCAAACTTTTGGTCCGTTTAGTTCATAAAAGGAATGGCTAAATTGATATAATATATAGTTATATCTATGAAAATAAAAAGTTTCCCTGTTTCTTTGTCTTCTTCTCTCTCTTTCTTTTTCTCTGCCTCTGTCTTTCTCTCTATCTTTTTATATGTATGTGTTTATCAAACGATATATACAATTGAAAGTTAATGCATATGTATTTGTTTGATAAATATTCCATTTTATTCGAAATAGTTTCATCATTTTGAGGGAAAGTTTTACTTCAGAAAATTCTTAAAAAATTACTTCAAAGAATTTCTTAGAAAGTTTTTACGAAAAATTCCGAACCAGCCTGAGGCGAAAACTCGTACGAGCACGCTTCAACACGTTTCATGCAATGAAATGTTAACGACGGCACTTTAACCCGATTTGTATGCATGCCGAAAAAAAAAATATAAAAATTTTTTTCAATTACTTTCGTTTTGTATTCATTCATTTATTCATTTTTTAGTTAATTAATTAATTCATCCATTCATTTTTCCATCCATGCATCTCATCGTCCGTCCACCCACTCACTCACTCTTTCACCCTTATTCATTCATTCATTTTTTCAAACTTTCTTTCATTCAATTATCCAGGCGACTTATTCATCATCGTCTATAGCATAGACAGTCGCGAGTCATTTGAAGAGGCGATACGTCTAAAGGACCAGGTGACGAAGACGAAGAGATCCACCAACCCAAACGTCTTGGGTTCGACTCCGAGAAAATCCAAACCCAACCAATCATCCCCAATCTCGATGGTCATCGTGGGTAACAAGTGCGATAGGGAGGGAGAGAGGGTAGTGGAGGTGCGTTTTTTGGGGTGGTGGGCTTGAGTGGTGGTTAGTTTGATCTTATTTCAACTTAGCTAGTAGTAAAAGTACAAGCAAACACGAAATGAAGTAATGAAAAATTTATTCAATTTTTTTTCTGTAATTTTTCAATTTTTTCATATCAAATCCAATAAATTGAAATAGTGTTAGCGATTAGAGTGAAAAGAAATATGCCAAAATAATGCTGATACTCAAAATAGTAGTGTAATATTTGTTGTCGCGACAATAGTAATAATAAAAGTGGTAGTAGTAGTAGTACCAGTAGTAGTAATAGTATGGGTAGTTATAGTGGTAGCGACAGAAGCGAGCGATTTAATTTATATTTAATAAAAACCTTTTATAAAGTGAATTGGATTATGAAGATTGTGGTCCATGCCATCAATTATTTTTAAAATAAATTTTCCATTCTTCGGAGAGAAAGGAAAGAGACAAACACACACACACACACACACACACACACACACACACACACACACACACACACACATACACATGTAAACCCACACATCCCTTCTTAAGAATACATACATGTAAACATACGCATACCAACATTTTCACAATCCTACAAATACATACGTTAAATCTTAGGAGAACACAGTCATACTGACACACGCACACATACAAACACACAAAAACTTACACTAAAGCTCTTACACACACACACACACACACACACACACACATATATATATATATATATATATTTACACACATTTATACACACACACACTTATTTACACACATTTATATACACACACACTTATACACACATTTATACACGCAAATAAATACACAAATATATACCTTCATATTCACAAGCATACAAAAACACACACACACTTACAAAGTTAAACAAACATACACATGCAAACAAAATAAAACATAAAAAGTCAAAAGAACGCATACAAACAAAACTTTTGTATCTCATCTGATGAATATTATTAAAAAAAATCATTTTTTAAATCCTTGTAAGAATTTAGCTGGAAAAATATTAAATTATAATTAGTAGTATTAGTAGTAATAGTAGTAGATGTAGTAGTAGTAGTGGAAGCAACAGCAGCAGCAGTTGTAGTAGCAGTTGTAGCAGCAGAGGTAGTAGTAGTAATAAATTGTTGTAGATGTTTTTTTTATATCGTTGTTTATAGGTACTGTAGTTGTAGACTTGTAGTAATAAATTTAGTAGTATTAGTAGTAATAATGATAGTAGCAGTAGTAATAATGATAGTAGTAGTAGTAGTAAAAGTAATAGTAGTAGTTGTATTTTAAAATTAATTTGTCTGACATCTGGCGGAATTTTATTTACGAGACATTCCATTACACGAATCCTTTATCATCTAGTACTTCTTCGGCTTCGCTCTTATATAAATTATTAAAGTCTTCTTAATATGGCTAATATAAATAAAATAATAATAAAATGATATTTTGTGTGTGTGTGCGTGTGTGTATGTGTGCGCGTGTGTATGTGTGTACGTGCGTGTTGGGCGCTTTTGGAAAATAATTACAGTTTTGAAATATGCATACAACTACAGTATTTTTATACATTAATTGTAAAAAATTAAATGAATGAATGTGAGAATGAATGATGAATCAATAAATGAGTGAACGAGTGAATAAATGAATGAATGAATGAACGAATGAATGAATGAATGAATGAATACATGAATGAATGAAAATATAACAAGCAGATCAATGTTGTTTGTGTGATAGAATGGAAAAAATTTGTTGAGGAAAGAAATTTTTTTGTTGTTATTTCATGTGCCAACATTATGTCGACAGTTCAATTAATTAGTTGATTAGGTTTTTCGATTTTTTTTTTCATTTATTCGTTCATTTTTTCATTCGTTCGTTCTTTCGTTCGTTCGTTCGTTCATTCATTCATTGGTTCGTTCATTCAATTTTGTCCTTTAAATTATTTATTTATACAATTGTTTGATCAACTGTGTTTCCTTCACTCAATCATTTATTCATCTTTTCAGTGTTGACAAACACACACACACACACACTAACACACACACATACACTAACATACACACACCCACACACACTTTATTTATAAATTTAACAATCTTCTTTGTCCATAGGTGCATCTTATTTATTCTTTTACTAATCCTTTAGAGTCATACATTAAACAATTTTTTTCAATCCGGCTGTCTGTCAATCATAATTATTGTTATTTTTATTTTTATTATGAACATTATTATTATTATAATTATTTGTATTTATATTTTTCTATAAAACTAAATTTAAAACTTAAATTTAAAAAGTATAGAATGCAGGTAGTGTAAGTTGCTAATGGCAGTAATTTTCCATGCGTGTATGGAAAAAAATTTTACAATAAGAAATGAACTATAGCTCTTGAAACTTTCTCCCCTACCTACATTTAAATAACCGATCGTCATCATCATCAGCCAATGTCTACCTATTAATTAATATGTTACCTGTTTAAAAACAAAATGACATCATCATCTTGTCCTCAAGTAGAATTTGTAACAGGAAGAACATTGCGGAAAACAATAATGGTTTAAAATCATAAGTTCATTAGTGTTTTTATTATATAATTTTAAAATGAGGCGCTCAAGAGTAAAGCGCCTACTTATATTAAATTATTAATTAATAAATAATTAATTAAATTAATTAAATATAATTATTAAATTATGATTGAAGAAATAATAATCTCACTATAAAAATTATAACAATTCAAATAAGACTAACCGGTACAATAGTAAAAGAGGTTTTCATATTTGTCGAACGGATGCGTACATGTGTTGTTTTGTTTGCCGTAGGTCGTTTCTTATTAGAAACACCTGTCTGAGAGTAGATTGCATTTGCGTGTGTGTGTGCGTGTGTGTGTGTGTGTGTGTGTGTGATGTAGTATAAACAACTATGTGTATAAAAAAACTAATTAATTTGTTACTTTTTACAACTGCGTTTCAATCCACGCTTTCTACAAATATTTGGCCGGAAGAAAATTGAAATGGAGGCCAGTTTTTAAATGTAACATTTTACACAAAAAATTGGTCGATACATTTTAATTTTTCTAAAAATAAAATTGTGGGCGGCCGATGGAGCGTAAGTGTGTGGGTGTCTGTGTGTGTGTGAGAGAGTGTGTGTGTGTGTGGTTTGGTGTAGTTGAAGAATATTTCATCCTTCTTTTCAGAATTTTGATGTCAGGATGAAAGGAGCCCGCTCTCACAGATGAATAATTTTTCACGTTACTCAACTGAAATATTTTTTTTAATCTTTCGGAAAATTTTTTTCTGAACGACTTTAATTTATTTTTCTCTTAATTTTTTTGAGCTGTCCGTATCTTAATTCATTTCATCGTCATCATCATCATTATCGTCATCGTCATCATCATCATCGTTTACACATTTTTCTTCATCACCTTTTTCTTCTTCATCTTCTTCTTCATCGTCACCATCATTATCACCGACAAAACTAAACAGCTGTCCCTTCTCACAAAATTCTCTCCCCACGAAATGTGTATACTTCTTTAAGGTCTTCTAATCTTTGCATAGAGATTGAACACTTTTTGATGCAACTCTCTCCGTGTAGGTCTCTATTTGTCTATATAATATAAACATGTTTGTGTGTGTGTGTATGTGTGTGTGTGTGTGTTTGTGTGTGTATGTGTGTGTTTGTGTGTTTATGTGTGTGAGTGTTTGTGTGTGTATGTGTAATTGTGTGTAACTCTTTGCTACTTGTATCCCAATCTGGTTTCAGACCTGCTCTAGTGAGAAAGAGAGAGAGAGAGAGAGAGAGAAAAGAAAGATAGAGGGAAAGAAAGAGAGAGAAATATAATGAAATCGCTAAAAGGGATTTTTTTTTAAATAAAACTAAAAAATAAAAGCCGAGTTGGTGCAGTGGAGTACCTGGATGTGGTAGATGCAAGTATGAACTTGTCAGGGAGAATATGACGTGTGAATTATTTTTTTATATGTCTTTGTTTTTGTTTATGTGATTGTTTGTTTGTGTGAATCGGATTGTGTGTGTTTGTTTGTATGTGTGAGTGTAGTATGGGTACGTATGTTTGCATGTGTAGTTGCAGGTGAGTTTTCGTATGTTTGTATGTTCAAGTAGGTTAAATGTGTATATACTATACATGTATGGTCACATGCACGTGTGTATGTTTGTATGTGTTTTTTTTAAATATGTGTGTGTGTACTGAAACTATTTTACTCAAAATGCATAACAATATCCTTCTCTCTAGTGAGAAAGAGAGAAAAAAATAAAGATAGAGAGAAAGAAAGAGAGAGAAATATAATGAAATACTTTGTTTTTTTGTTTTTTTTTGTTTTTTTTTTTAAATAAAACTAAAACAGTTTTGATGTGTGTGTGTGTAGTGTGTGTGTGTGTGTAGTGTGTGTGTCTTTTTAATTATTATATTTAGTTTTTTTTTTAAGTATTTTTGCGTTCATGTTCGACGTGATGAGCTTTTTTAAACTTGAAACTGCGTGCGTATGAGTGGGTACGTGTTTGTGTTCGTTTGCTTGTACTGTAGATGTTTGCATGTGTTTATGCGTGTGTTTCAATGTAGTTACTAGTGTGTGTGTTTGTGTGTGTTTTTAAGTGTGTGTGTGTGAGTGAGTAAACACATGTATACCTTACAATATATGAATATGTTTGTGTGTGATGTTGTTATTAAGTGCAATTAGGTGTGTGTGTTTGTTTGTGTGTGTATGTGTGTGTTGTGTGTGTGCTACAGACAGGTGAATGACTGTCCCAAAAAACCACATCCAGCAAGCAACAGCTGCAGTAAAAAGACAGGCCACATCAATTATTCGTCTTATTGAAGTTCAATTGAGCAAATTTTGAATGTTCTCGAAATAAAACATACAATAATTGATTCCTACCCATTTTCTATTAATTCACACACACACACACATAACACACACACTAATACGCACGTACACACACTGACACTCAATACACTTTCATTATTCATCTGTGAGGATGGGCTTTTCATATCTTAA